ATCCCAGACCTGGAGGGGCTCAGGAGAAGCACACGGCTGCTGTGGTGCTGGAAGCACTCTTTAGTGGAGGACCACGCTTTCATGTTCCCTGGAACATGCATCACCTGTGAGCACTTGGAGCAAGAGCATCACCAATTCGGAAGCAAACAGTAGACTCTTTATAGTGGTTATGTCTTATACCAGCAGTGGGAGAGAAACAAATTTGAGATAGAAAAGGACTTCCCCAGCATGGAAGCCATCAGCCACAGGCCATGGAAGCCAAGGAAGGGCAACACTTATATCTGTAATGCATGTACTTAGTTTTGGTTTTTGGTTTGTTTCCTTGTTTACTGCGTGTGATAGGGACAGAGCGCAGGGCCTCTTGCATGCCAGGCAGGGACTTGACCACTGAGTCATACTCCAGTCCTTTAATGCATTTGCTTGAATGTTTATTGAATGCCTTTATATTCTAGGCACCTCTCTAAGATGGTTGGATTTACTAAGATTGTTTGCCTTGAAGACACAGTGAAATGCATCATTCTATACTAATAATTAAATTCAGTTAGATGACTATGATATTTATTGGGTGGAGTGTTTTTAGATTTATTAACTCATATATTTCACACTTTTGTCAGGCAGGTATTATTCTTCCCACTTTACAGATTCTTCCCACTTTACAGCCTTAGTAACATGAAATGACATGATTGAGGGTCATACAGCCAATTGGTTATGCTGGATAATGATAAAGGTAGGCATGGCACCAGGCCCGTGGTGCGTACCCAGGACTGTTGCCAAGTGAGTATGTACAAAAGACCATAGGACTTCAGAGGATGTCAGCTTGTAGGCGAGGTGACTATGGACACAGCTGTGGCTGGGGACAGGGCTCATTTTCCCGCCACCCTAAGTGGCCTTTGCAGAGGGCAGCTCCTAAGCACCCTGCCCCAAGGAACTGTGTGGTGATGGAGGTGTCAACTAGCTTGGCTGTGCTGATAACTTCCCAGTATGTACATGTGTCTGGGCAAGTTGTGTACCTTAAATATATACAATAACAATAATGTGACCTAAGTGGTCTCCGCTGGGCTGAGAGCTGGATAACCTGAGTCCAGAGCAAAGACAGCGGCTTGAGCCTCTTCTCCTGTGGGTGCAGGTCCCTCCTCAAGTGCATCCTAGTAGAACCCTGGGGCTTGGCCTTCACTGTTTCTTCAAAACAGTCCCAGCCCCCAACTCAGGTATCAGCGGAAAGCTATTGGGGGTGCACTCTCACTCCACAGCCCTCCAGCTGGGTTTTTGTGGCTCTCTGCCCCTGGCTTCTGCAGCATCCTCCCACTTATCAGACCCATTCAGCTCTGCAGTGACATGGACCACTGCAGCAGCATCCTGGGGTGGTCTGGTTGCATCACATCTTGAAGTCCTGAGAATGTTTTCCTAATACATCCAGGCTGCCTCCCACCTGTTACCTACTTCCAGCCTCACCCTTTCACCTCCCTCTGCCCTGGACTCCATCGTGGTGTGTCCAGCCCAGAGAGGACACATAGCCCCTCTGGGTATGCTAGGGCTGCAGGGGAGGTTTCCAGGATGACATTGCAAGCCTGTTGGTCTCTTGCTTCTCAGTAGAGAGCAGCAATGGAAACTGAAAATGTAGACCCTCTTGTCTAAAGAATATGAAGAATTTTAAAATGGTAGGTAGTTAAGCCTGGACCCTCCGAGTGTGGGAACCTGGGGGGATCATGGGGCAATAGGTTCTATGTTCCAGCATCTGGTATCCAATTCAGCCACAGATTAGACTCTAAAACAATGTCATTGGACAAATTATTCTCTTTCCTGGGCCAGAAACAGGTCAGGGGAAAGATTAAAGGCCACAAGAGGAACCAGGCTAATTGAAGCTCAGCAAGCCAAAAAAGGTCTCCCAGTCTAACGGGTGAGATTTGAGTGAAGCTATTTCTTTTTTTCAAAGAGCTTATGTCTGTAAAATAGGTGGATGCTTTGAGCAAGTCCATGACTTCTTAATGGTTCAACTCCAATGTGCGCATGTGTAGATACACAAACGACCCTCCCACACGGAATATGCACGTCCACAGACAAGCACACCCGAGAGTCCACGTGTTCCAACACATGACCTCCTCCTTATAAACGCAGGTTCATTCAGCCAAGCCAGTGTTGCTACAAGCAAAGCCCAGGTGCCCAAGGATCAGTTTCCCCTAAATCCAGGAATGGCTGAAATGCCTCAGCTGTGTTCTATGGGTTACCTGGCTGACCTTCCAGACAGTCATGGGTCAGACCCACCAACATGATAGAATAGCATCAGTGTGGGGAGAGTCTTTTGGGGAGAGTCCCTGCCTGTCCCTGTGGAGGCCCAGCACCTTTTACCTCAGCCTTTGGCCACCCAAGAACCTGTGGTGGGAAGCTCTGAGCTTTGAGATCTGCCTCTCCACCCTCTTCTAACCCTGGCACTCTTCTTTTTTCCCTTTTATCTGGCACCAGCCCCATCCCTTTTGCTTTTGTGAGACAGCCAGGCGTGAATTGGGCTCCCCCAAGAAATTCCCCATTCTTGCTCTTCCAGGCCCTCTGGAGCTCCACAGCTGGGCTGCATTGTCTTGGGGCAGGATGTGGATGGGGGTGACTGTGGGGGTGCAGCACCCTCCTCCCCAGGGGAGAACAATGAGGCCACTAGTCAGGGTGGTGGGGCAGAGAAGATGGGCGGGGTGGGGGCCTTGGAGCCTCATCAGAGCCTCCAGTGCGGCCCCTGGAGGGACAGCTGAGTGATGAGGCCTGAGTCACATGCCCTGAGAGCGCCTTGAGCTCTCGCTCTGTGCCTGTCCAGACACATCCAGCAATGCACAGGGCAGATATTTAGAGGTAATCGTTTTCTGTGGCACCTTGAACCTCCCTCCTTGCTGAGATGAGCTGTGCCTGGGACTTGACGGGGAGCAGTCTAATGAGACACTGATCTGCAGTCTGGGCTTCTGTGGCCATCACCCCCTTTTCCCCACCACTGTCCAGTGTATCCCTGCATAACCCAAGACCAGCAGATGAAGCCTGGGAATATCCCGAGACTAGACCTCTGCTTCAAATCCAGGAGGACCCCTCTCCCACTCCTCTCTGGCTTCCACTGTGACCGCCAGCACTCCAGACATGGCTAGCTGAGCCCTGCTCCAAAGCCCAGGGTGCTAGAGAGAGCTCTGAGGGTTCCATGGGGCAGGAGGAGGGAAATATAGGTAAAAACCAGCACTGAGTTCAGCATGCCAGGGCCCTGGCTCTACCCTGCATGGAATGTCTTCTTTCCTTACAGGACATGGAGTCTAGAGTCTGAGCTTTATCAAAGATAAAGCATTTGAGACTAAACAGTCTTTTTATAGATTGGAACTGGGCTCTCAAGCACACGTCCCCCACTGTTCCCAGATTTTTTTAAAAGACAGGGTCTTGGTATATAGTTTAGGCTGGCCTGGACTCATTGTGTAGCCCAGGCTGGCCTCGAACGTGCCTCGATACTCAGCTTCCCGCGCACTGGGTTTCAGGTGTGCACCACCGTGCTCGGCTTCCAGCCTGCCTTTCTGAAGAGCACATGAACTGCAGACGCTGTTCTCTGGGGAAACTGAGGCCTGTGGGCCATGGTGCTTCCCAAGGGAGGGAGGAGGCTGCAAGAGGCCTGCGGGTACTGCCCACTTGCCTGCCTGGGCCCACCTCTGTCCCTCTACGAGAAGTAGCCATGAGGAATTTGCAGTAAGATGGAATCCAAGTGTGTCAGGCACACACAAATGCAGCCTCAGACATTGCTACTCACCCAGGCGCAAACAGAAGAAATCGCTACCACGGGGTATAGGGTGGGACCCACAAATCAAGGCCCCAGCTCCTCCCTCCTACCCCCACCCCCCAGGCGGGGCTGGGACTCTGAGGGAAAGGTAGGAGGAGGACAGCAAATATTTGTTGTGTATATTATGTTTATTAGACAGTCTGTAAACATTAGCTCACTTAATCCTTACAAGGCCTTTACTAGTTTGTTATTCATGCCATTCTTATGGAGGAGGAAACAAAGGATCATATTGTCAAGGTCTGATAGCTAACCAAGGAGGGGAGATCTGACCTGAAGGCCTTCTGACTCCGGAAGTTCTATGCTCTTTTCTTTTTGTATCCTTAAATGTAAGATGGAAGCTAACCTGGGGTTGTGAGGATTAAGTAGGACTATTTGGATAAAAGTCTGCCAGTACCTGGCAGAGAGTGGGCCTCCAGTAATTAGAGGATTGTGGAAGTTGGTGTGCAGGGTATCTCAGAGGTCAGTGACACAAAAGCCACCCGTGGGATCTCTTAGGTAACAGGAAGCTGAGAATGGTCTAGGTTTTGAGGCTGTGGAGGGATCAGATCTTCACCTCCTTCATACTTAACAATCAAGGCATCTTCTGGAGTGCACCGAGAGGTTATAACCTCCGCTAGGAGAAAGGTAGGAGATGGAGCAGGGCAGGGGGCAAACAGGAGAGAGACTGGAAGAGGGAGACCTTAGAGGATGTCAAACCCCACTTCCTCTGGGGCTGATTAAAAGACTCTTTTCAGGCCAGGGATTTAGCTCAGTAGCATAAGCGCCTGCCTGACAAGCTCGGGGCTGTGAGTTCGCATCCTAGTGCCTGAGTGCTGTGAGACTGCCCTATAGGTCAGCACGGCAGTGATCTTGGGCCTCAGTTTCCTCACTGTTAAAAAAAGAGAGGAAGTATTTTTTGCATTAAGGGATCCCTACCTCTGTTCTGAAACGCCATGTATTTCCCTGTAGCTCTTCTCCTAAATGAGTCAGTTTCTTGGACAGTCCCAGGGACACCCCAGAAGGAATGGTGAAGGGTGGGGGCGGGCCCATGGGAAGCTGGACTGGGTGGGCCTGTTCTAATTCTTAGTGTGCGGCTACTATTCCAGACTGGCAGTGGAGTTAGGGTGGCACAGGGCTCACAAGCGGGAGAGGAGCATAGTGGCTGGTGCTTAATGAAGCAGATGGGCACAGATGGGTAGCTCACAGCCCCTGGCATTTTCTTTCTATGCAGAGACCTCAGCATGAACAACCTCACGGAACTTCAGCCGGGCCTCTTTCACCACCTGAGTTTCCTGGAGGAGCTGTGAGTGGCTGCCCCAAAGGACGAGGGTGGGAGGCAAAGCTCTGGCCACCTGTACCAGCTCCAGGGTACCCCAGGAGGAGGGTGGACCTGGAGGGGAAAGAAAGCGGCATGAGAGGTGGCTCTTCTGGACAATCAGGTGTTCAGCTGCTCTCTGACCCACAAGGGACCTCTGGTGACAGTGCTGGGTCACAAGATCTGAAATCTAGTTTTTATTCTCCCTGAAACCAATGACTCTTTGCAACCTCCCTCCTTAATGTCCATGATTGAGCCTCTTCCCAAAGTCACGCTTAGCTGCTGTGGTCCCCTGTGTCCTGCCTCCAGGCCATCCCCAGGACCTGGTGGTTCTTCACAGATACCCGTCACTCCCCTTGTTCTCTACTCCCACTGCTCCTGACCCAGCCTCCCCCATTTCTAGAGGAGAACAAGCCCCGCTGGTGGCAGGTGTCTTCCCTCCAGTCTGATACCTGCCGAAGCCCTCAGAGTGTACCTCACCAGCTCCTCCATGGTTCGCCATAGCCTGACGGGGTGTCTTAGGCCTTCCCTTATCAGATCAGCTTCCTCCCCAGAGTGCCACTGGCGGACCCCTCCATGCAATCCAGAGCTCGGCCTCATCCCTAGGGTGCTTGCAAATAAATATGTGCCCAGTAAAAGCACATATCCTACCTGTCTGCCCCGGGAGGCCACATCACTCTGTCCCCATCCTCACTTTCATTCTAGCTCTATTTCCAACACCTTCCAGCCCCATTTATCCTTCTGTTCACACCACTGAGGCTCCTGGAGGGAAGTTTGTTTAAGCTCTGCAAACTGTGGACTCCTGGTCCTGAAAACACCTTCAGTCCCATCTCTACCCTACCCTGGCTACTCCCATAGCAGGTGTCCTCACCTCACCCTGGCCCTCGGGGTCCAGCCTGTCCTGTCAGAGCTCAGAGTCCCCCAGCCCCAGGGTTATGGCTGGGTGTGGTGGCCAGCTCCTGTGGGTCCCCTCTGTGTGGAAAGTAAGCTTGGCCCTACCGGCTGCCCTCAGGGAGCTCACAGGGGAGGCTGAAGACACTCAATAGTCATCAGGGGGATGTGGCCCTTAGATTGGGACATCCAGGCACTGTGCAGGAGGGTGGGGCTGCCAGTAGGCAGGGAAGCTTTCCTGGAGGATGAGAAGGAGAAGGAAGACGAGGATAAGGACAAGGATGGGGGCAAAGACAAGGACAAGGTTGAGGAGCAGAAGGAGCCTGCTCTTGAAGGAAGTTGGCAGTTTACCTTTCAGAGAAGAAGGACTCACCTTGGGTGGTAATGACAAGCAAGAGCAAAGGACAGGTACTCAGAGCAGGTGACTGGGCAAAAACCTGAGGGCTCAAGGCTGATTCTATATCTCCTATACTGAATAAGCTAGACATTCTGAAGAAGGCCATACCCAAAGGACACATCCGCAGAACATCTACAGAATACAAGCTTGGGGACCTCAGTTAATACGATGCTCTTCCACACAGTTATTTTATAAATAATAAATCTCAATAAAGAGACTTTCATGCTAAGCAAGTTCTCTACTACTGAGGGATTGAGCTCAAAGCCTTCAGCACTAAAGTACATCTCTAGGCTTTTTCATTTTTTATTTTGAGGGAGAATTTCACCAATTTGCCAAATTTCTCATGCTGGGCTCAAACTTGGGATGCTCATGCCTCAGCCTTCCAGGTGCTAGGGTTATAAGCATGTGCCACCAGGCCTGATTCCAAGATAATGTATTTAAAAACTGACTTCTTTGAGATGCCAGCACTGGCCTCCCAGTAGCAAATGATGGTCATGGAGGTCCAGAGTGTCTCTGTAGCACCCACATTAAACTGTGTGGTCAGAGGTAAGCCCTAATCATAGGCACTGAATATAAGTTAATTTCATTTGTTCCTTTTAGAATTGATCAGATGCTGTAACAATTAGACCAGAATGTTGTGGGTAATACAGCACCCCATTTCCCAATGCTCTTGTGTTGGGGGTGGTGAACTGTGTCCCACTCCTCCACTGTGACATGTGCACTAGTCCAGGGCAGGCTATGGGCACCTCGAGTCAGGCCAGAGGGCAATGTGTCACCCCAGAGCAGCCGTGAGCCTTGAAGCTCAGATCTGGGGAGAACCCCTAACCTGCCCCTCACCGGCTCTGGGACCTGGAGGGCCAGTGCCTGACCTCTTCCAGCCTCTGTTTCATCATCTGAAGTTCAGGATTAATACAGGTTGAGCAGCCCTAATCCCTCGCTGTAATCTGAAGCTTTTTGAGCATTCACATGACACTGTAAGTGGACAATTGTCCACCTGACCATATGCAACAGGTGGGAGTTAACACACCAGAGAACTGAGTTATTGTAGTGGCCTAGGGCTCAGCGGTGGAGCATATATCTAGCTTGTGTAAAGTCCTGGCTTCAATACCCAGCAGAGAAAACAAAAACAAAAACAAAATGCATAAAATTATCTTCAGGCTATGTATATACAAGACAGTGCATTTGGTGTTTAGACTTGGGACCCATCCTTAAGACAGATAATTATACATTTGCAAATTTTACAAAATCTGAAAAAAGTCTGAAATTCCAAATGCTTCTGGTCTAAAGCAAATAAGAGGTACTGACACCGTAATAGATAGGTACCTTGCAGGGTTATTACGTGAATTTCGATGAGGCAAGTAAAGTGCTAACCGAGCTGCAGAGCTCAGTAAATGGTAGTTACCACCCGACTTCCCCTCTCCTCTCCCATTAGTTTGCGGACCAATGGAGGTCACCCTGTCTCTGGGCAACTGGCCGACAGGGCTGACCTTTGTCTCTGATTTCCAGGCGTCTCTCAGGGAACCATCTCTCCCACATCCCGGGACAAGCATTCTCTGGCCTCCACAGCCTGAAAATCCTGTAAGTAGAGTTAACCTCTTTTTACCTGCAGGGCCACTTTGAGAATTGTGATCAAATCAAAGTTTTCTAATCCAAGACAGAGTTTCCCACAATTGCTTCTCACCTTCTCACGTTCACTTTTCATTTTGTTTGCCGTTTTCGTTTCTTAGCTTCCGTCATGTCTGTAACAAGCTCACGGTACCTGGCTTTGTGACAACTGTACAGGAAGTGAAATGTCTTTATTGTCTGCTGTGAGCGCTGAGTGTCTAGCTCAGTGGCACAGTGCCTGCCTGGCAAGTGCGAAGTCGTGAGTTTGATACCTGGTACCAAAAACATATTTTTTCTTTATTTGCTGAGTAATGACCATCAGCATAGATCACTGTCCCTGAGACCCTTTGGTCTACAGAAGGATATGACTGGTGGGTTTTCTTTAGGCTCAACCTTATCTCTGTGTCACCAGCCCTGAATATCTATTCTCATGGCAAACACAGCTCCTCCTTCAGACTCCAGGCTGCCTCCTCCAGCCCTTTCACCTTTCCTTTGAATCAACAGATGTGAGACTTATTGAGGACCCTGTGGTATTGCACTTGGCTTCCTTTTATCATTGAACTGTTGACCCATTTTAGAGGAGGGAAAGTAGAGGCACTGTCTTCCATCATCCCAATCTCTATGTTCCACCTGGTTCCAATGATGAGGGAGAGAGGACAATGGTAGAAGAAAGAGGATACATTGAATCTCAAGATGGATGGAAGAGGTTCCTTGAGAGAATGCACCACCCTAGGGATGAGTTTCAGAAGAAAATAAGGATTTTGACGGCTTATTTTGAAGCAACGAAATAAGTATTTGGGGGATTCCTTAAAGCGGTGGGCCATTCTCCAGCTCTGCTATCCTCTAGCCCTGACTATATTTGTAGGTTTTCTTTGTATAATTGAGTAGACTGTTGGCTGCACAAGAGCACCTGGCTGAGACGAGGCGAGGAGGCTGGAATCCAGTTTTGGGCCCTGGCTTGGGACCGCATTCATCACTGGGGCTGGTGGTGGCCCTTCCTCCGTGGTCCAGAAGCTCCGGGCCCCCAGCTAGGCAACTGTCCCTGACTAAGCACTTTCTCTCTTTCCCATCTGTTGGTCCCTGACATCTCCGGGCCCTCACATCCCTCTCCAGCTTCCTCCGCGTGTGACTCTCAGCCTCTCTGGCCTCTATTCTTCCTTCTCTCTGCTCTGCCTGGAGGTCCTTCCCCTCTGTGCTCCCTGCTTCGGGCTCTTGTCTTCACTCTTCCTCTGTGCTGCTCAGACCCTGCCCTTCCTCTCTCTGCCCCTCAGACTTCCTTCTGGCCCATCTCTGTCTCACTCCGTAAACACTGCTGCCCCAGGGAGGTGGGGAGATGTTGGGCCTGTGGCGTGGTGGGTGCAGTCGGGCTGCTTGGTGGTGTGTCTGTGCCCGGTGGCAGGCTCAGACCTGCAGCCCGGATTAGAAAGCAGGGCTGTATGTGCTGGGCCCTCAGAAGATGTGAGGCTCACGTCCCATTCCTAAGACTCTGGCTTAGAGATGAGCCTGCTCTTTCTTCTCTGCTTGCATTAGGCAATAAATCAAAGCTTGGGAGAAACCGCAGGCTGCCTGCCTGCCCCCTTTTCACCAACAGCACCTTGGCGTGGGGTGGAGGGCAGCCAGGAGGGGCTGCAGCAGGTGGGAGCCAAGACCACCTGCCCCTCCCTCACCAGTGACCCTGCTTTGCTCCACCTTGGAGACCACCTGGCAGGCAGGTCAATCCTGTTCCTGCAGAGCCTGTCTCCTGTAGGCACAGTTGGCTGCTTGGAGACTTCACAGTGAAAGATGGCGCACGCATCCTAGCACGGTGACCTTTCCAGCATGTGATGTTGCTTCTCCCTGTGCCGTGTCTTTACCATTGCTGCCTGTTCAGATCTTCAAGGAAAACAGTGGTAGAGCCTGCCCTCTGCCCAGCGGCCCTCAGCCAGGGGCCTCTTTTTAGATTCTCTGCCATGCCTGTGTGCAGGACCCTTCTCAGAACTGTGCCTTCTTTCTGCAAGCCAGGCTGTCCCTAGGGTTCACTCTCTCCCCTTCTTGCTCTCCTCAGGGCAAAGGATGAAAGAAAGGGGATTCCTGCTCTTCTCCTTTCCTAAGTGACCACGGCAGAGTCCCTCCCTTGTGTCATTCACACCTACTCTACCTACCCTGGAGGTGTCGCTCTGGTCCTTTCCTCCTCAGTGGGCTTCCCACGCCCTCAGGCTCATGGCTCTGACTCTGCATAGATCAAGAGTCCACTCTGGCTGCACTTGGTGGTATAAGCCTATAATCTTAATTGTCCAAGTAGCTGGGCTGGAGGATCAAAAGTTTAAGGCCAAGCTGGGCAGTTTAGGGAGACTGTCTTAAAATAAAAATAAATCGCCTGGGGCTTTGGGTTCGTGGTAGAGTGTTTGCCTAGCATTTATGAGGCCCTAGGTTCCATCTCCAGATCCTTGGAGTGGGGAGGTGTAACACCCTGCAGGGATGGCCAGCCTTATTCCTGTGTGTCCCTCAGACCCAGGAAGGCCCAGACGCCAGAGTTACCACCCACTCCACTGGAGCCAAGGGAAGCCACTGTTTCTGCTGCCCCAAACATGTGGGACGATGCCTGGACAGTGCTCCTGCCCAATGCACCTTTACGGGGCAGGAGGCAGCTGTGGCCAGACCTCAGGCGCCCCAATGCCCAGCTTGAGGGTGTAGGGTGTGTGTCTGTCAGGACCCTGGATCTTTATCTCCAAAAATTCCAGCCCACGCCCTCGCAAGTTTCTTTTCCAGACACCTTACTCACCCACGCCAGGGTAGACAAGGGCCAGGCTTTGGTCCTCCTCCTTCTGCAATCAGTTTGTGCCCTCTCTATATCAGGCTGCTGCAGCCTCAGCTAGGAGGACTCCTGCTGGGCTTCACTTGCTTCTCAGTAGACCTGTATCCGGGAAGAAGGGGCTGACTGTTCAGGGCTTCCTCCCCTCCTCTCTCTGGGAGACTGGTCAGGAGCTTTCCCCAGGTGCCCTGCTTCTGGGAAGAGCCCAGCACCTGTGCACTCTGTGGCTGAGGAGTCCTGGCCTGTGCTGCCTTGGTAAAGACTAGAGCTCCAGAAAGGCAGCTTGCTGCTTCTGATCTGGGGCCTGTCCAATCTGCAGCCCTGGCTGGGGGCCACAGAGGAGTGGGTGGAAGCTGGTGTCTCAGGCCACACCGAGAGGAAATTTTCCAGTGCACACCTCCAGTGTAGCCCTTTTCTCGCTGCATGGAGCCTCCAAGGGTGACAGTGACTGTGTTATCCTCCACCTGGCTGGACAGCAGCCACACCTGGCCTGACGTAAGCTCCATCAGCACCAAGGAACTGAATTAACCTGAGAAGATGGGGCGTGTTTGAGTCACTGGGACACTGGACACTAAGCCTGTAGCCTGGCTCATGGGAGAATACTAGCCAGATCTCTCGAGACCCTCAGAAATGCTCCTCCACTGAGGCAGAGACTGCTGCCCCATCCTTTCAAGGGACTGGAAGACAGGAAAGGGGTCTCTTCTGCAGCTAGAGGCCAGATCAGCTCCTCCCCAGAGCAGCTGGCAGATTCTCTTTCTCTGAGACTTTTTCTACCTTTAAAATGGAGGAGCTGAAGTGAATTTCCCAACACTGTAAGCTATAGAAATTTAAAACAAGGGCTGGGAGGGGTGTAGCTGAATGTTAGAGTGCTTGCCGAGCATCCTTACCTGGCAGGAAGAAAGAAGGGAGGAGAAGAAGGGAGGAGATGGGGAGGGGAGGAGAAGAGAGAAAGACCTAGGAACAGGCAGAGATGAAGGAGGGAGGGAAGAAGGAGGAGGAAAGAAAGGAGAGAAAGAAGGAAGGGGAGAAAAAGGAAAGAAAGAAAAAAGTCAGGAAAGAGAAAAAAGGATAAAAAAGAAAATTTAAAATCTGAAATACCTTCTGCAGAAGTCCTAATACACAAGGCAAATAAAAAGGGCTTCCGGGGTGTGGGGTGTGGGTGGGTTCTGGGCTATGCCTCACCTGCCCACCTTGGTGACCTCCAGGCACCTCCATAGAACTAAAGGAAGGGTCACCTCTCTGGTGTTCCTGGCTCTTCTAGCTGTGGCTCGAATGGCTCCTGCCCCCAATGCTTCCCTGGTCCCTGGCCGGAGTTCCTCAATGCATATGGAGGGAAGGTGCTAAGGGTAGGATTTCTATCAAATGCATGGCTTCAGGACAGACTCTGGGGTCCCAAGGCCAGGCTCTAGTTCCAGAAGGGCAGCCTAGCAAGGGACTCTTCCCACTGGTCAGCACAGACTTATATGTGTGTGATCGTGTGAGATTGGATCACCAGGACAGGCTCATGCAGGCTCATGCAGGGTCAAATTGTTTCTATAGACAACAGTACCAGAAAACTCTTGTCTGGAGCCCTGGCACCGTAGGCACAGACTTGCCCTCATCCACAGCTTCCCCTTCCCCAAAGAAACCGTTAGCATCTCAGCTACATGGAAAGGAAACTGGTGTGCCGGGAGAAAAACCTCCACTTCTTCAGGTGCTTCCTGACCAATCTTAGCAGAATCTCGTGCCTTCTGACCCCCACTGCTTCCCAGGGTGACTTAATCCTTTATCTACATCATTCTCCTGGCTCTTGCCCCATCCTAAGAGCTCTTCTGAGAGGCTGTGGCCCCAGCTGCACCTCCCAGGCTCCAAGCACCCTTGGGCTCCCTCCTAACAGGGTAGGAAGACTGGACCAGGGCTCTTCCAGGGGGCTTGGAAGCCACAGCAAGAGGGACATAGGGTGGGGTCTTCAAGGGATTAGCTGTCCAGTTCTGGCCCCACCCCCAGATCTACCCACCATGGAGTCCTCAAAGCCCTTTCTCTTTCCCTCTAGGATGCTGCAGAACAACCAGCTGGGAGGAATCCCCGCTGAGGCGCTGTGGGAGCTGCCGAGCCTGCAGTCTCTGTGAGTCACCAAGGGCTGTCCTGGGAGTCACCAGCTTCCTAGGGCCTGAGTCACAGCGGGGCCCCGGCCTCAGCCCCCCCTTTTCCTCAAGCCCCCCTCTCCATCCTCTAGACAGGAAGCCGCTCCTGACTTTGGTTGCTGCAGGCTTTGCTGTCGTCCTCAGTGGGTGCATGTGTACTCTCGCCTGTGTATCTTGGGGCAGGAAGGCCTCCCCTAGAGGACTGTGGGAATAGGACCTCCCTAGGTAGGGCCACCAGGGCAGCAGTCCCCAGGCAACTGGCGTTCTGCCATTGCAGCCTGGGGTGTGGGGTGTCGGGAAGGGGCTCCTCCACCTCGCTGCTCTGGCCTCCGGGGCTCTGTGGGCGGAGAGGAGGCTGAGCTCACACACCCGCTTCCCCTGCTTGAGGGTGGGAGTCTAGTTTGGGCTCAGGCCACCCATGACAGAACAGTCCCTTCACGAGCGAGCCCTGCAGTTCCTGTCTCACCCAGCAGGGGCACCATGGCAGCAAATTCGTGCCTGTAGGCAGAGGCAGGAGCAGGTGCTCTAGCCTGAAGGCACGCATGCCAATGCTGCAGGGCAGGGGATAGGGGTTGGCTTTTATTCACACAGTGCACAGCACAGGACTGGAGTGTGATAGGCGCTTCACATGTGGCCGTGGAGCCCAGCTTAACCTGCAGGTGCATCCACGGATGGGGGAACAAATATGAATTTGGGGAGAAATCAAAGTTGGAAGACAGGATTAGGCTGGGGCATTTGGCCACTGGGGGAAACTGAGGCACAAACAGAATACAGGACAAGAGTCTGTGGTGTCCTTGGCCATGGGTACTGCTGTGATCTACCCAGAGCATGGATGTAGAAGTCGGACAGACAACTTTAAACTATTTGTCTCTCCTCAAGTGGGAGGAAGAGGGAACTGGGAAGGTGGCCTTACTCCTCATTCTGAAATTCAGAGACTGTTGCACTATAAAAGGAAAAGAGAAAAAAAAAAAGAAAAGAGGTTCAATCGGCGGGGTCAGTTAACTCACTGTGACACAGCATCTATGGTTAGGGATTCGTCTTCTGCAGTCACCCTGGACCATCCTCTGGCCTCCTGCTCTGAGTCTGTACCCTAATATCCCCAACCCCAGCTGCCTGACTGTCCCTAGGGACAGGACCTAACTTCCCCTATTCTCTCGTCTTCGTGCCTTCTAGCCAGCCAGCCTCACCCCTGGACAGGACCAGGCAGCCCCCATGGGCTCCTAGCGGCCAGGGTCAGGAGATCAAAGCCCAGGAAAGCTTGTACTTGCTCTCTATGGCAGAGCAGAGCAAACATTTGCTTAGGGTACCGCAAAGAGCACAGGCAGCCCAAAATAAATAAGAGGGGCGAGTACATGTGCGCTCATGTGTGTGTGTGTGTGTGTGTGTGTGTGAGAGAGAGAGAGACTGTTGAGGGGAAGGCTTGACACTTCACCCAAAGCATCAAAGAGGACTTCATAGGAAAAAAATGAGACTTTCATTGAATTTCTTTGCACTTACTAGGTTGGTTTTTTATTTTTATTTTTTTTAATTTATGAATCACATCCTTTGCTTAAAACATCTTAAGAGCCTGCTTTCTGACAAGGCAGGGGAGCTCCTGGGCTGGACAGGCTGTTTCCCCAACACACTCTGGGAGGTGTGAAGCCCTGTGGCCTGGAGAGCTAGATGACCAGTGGCCACTCCAACCCTTTTACTCTCTTTCTTGGTTGACCACGGCGGGGATCGATGCCATGTCCTCCACTCCCATCAGTGTAAGGCAGGGGAGTGAATTTTGCTCCGTGCGATCTGTGAAGACAGCGGCAGCCTGCTAGACAGAACACTTGGCTTCCAGCCCTGGCTCCCATCCTGACAGTCTGGGTTGCCTCCCCTCTCCGGGCTTCAGGCTGCCTGTCTTTCAGATGGGGCCCATGATCTCTCCCACCTGCCTTGCAAGGGTGCCGTAGAGATGAAATACAGGTCGGGTGGGAGAGATGAGAGCTGTGGTGCCAGGTGTGGTTTTTGTGATATTGCTCATCTACACCAGTCGTGAATTCATACAATTTACTGATGTTTTGAGGATTTACTGGGATGGCAATGCCTGTATTGAGCCTTGAAGGATCAGAAAGTGTCATTCAGATGAAGAAGCCAGGAAGAGGTTACAGGCAGAGCGTACAGGACCAAGATCCGGAGTCACGAGAACACTGGAGGATTTGCAAGTAGGGAGTTTGGCTGACCTGTGTGATTTGGGGAGAGGTGGGAAGGACAGTGATGAGGAAATATTTGGAGTTAGCGTGTGAAAGTGCCCTGCAAGTAAGCAAAGAGCTCCCGAAGGATTTGGACCTTATGCTCGACACAGTCAGGAGCCATAGAGGGATTTCTGGCAGGAAAGCGAAGTGAGAGGCAGTTTGGCAGCAGTCTTGGAGGACAGCCTGGAGGTGGGACCAGGGAAGAAGCCCCAGGGTGGAGGAAGTGTGACAGTGGCCGAAGGAAAGGCAAGAAGAACAGTGAAGGGAAATGTGGATGGACTCTGGGGACATCAAGATGTCACGTCATCAAGTCTCTAAAGCCAGATTCTCTGGGTTCAAATCTCAGCTCTTTCTCTCCCCAGCTGGAAGACCTGGGGCAGGCTACCCAATCGATGCACCTCTGCTTCCTTTTCCACCAAGTAGAGGTGATGCTGGTGTCTATGGTGCATTTGTTGGGCACGATGAATACCAAAATATTGTTTGGGCTGGAAAGAGTATTGTGGCATGAAGCAATTGACACCAGCACGTTCTAGCTTGTGGATTAAGTACCAAGTAAGCGAACAGCATCGGGACAAAACATTTCTGTCAGCACATACTGAATACCAAACTCAGTGGGTTTCAAAGCATTCTCTACCTCAACAGAACTGCACAAAATGAGTCAATGAACATAAAAGACACAGGATGGAAATTTTGTGGCCACCACTGCTCTTATTAGTAGTAATAGCATTGACTGATGTGGGGGTTGAGGGAGGGGAAACCAAGGTGACACCCAGTCCTCTGACTTGGTGGATGGAGGACTGGGTCATCAAGAGCATGGCTCATGAGGAACATGCTCAAGGAGCTGTGAAAAGTGAGCCCTAGAGGGTGACCCAGCATCCCAGGCAAACTGGACACTTGGTCTCTTTGCCTGTAGGACTTCAGTGTGTGTGTGTGTGTGTGTGTGTAATGAAGGGTGCTATGCATAACTCAACTCAAAAGTCTATGTAGGTGTTCTGTCCTGAGCTTTTGGAAGTTGGTGGTGATGGTGGCATTCAAGGTGGTTTAGCCTAGGCCTCACAGTGAGTGCCACCCCACCTAATCCCAGCCCCTCCACTTTAGTGACAGAAAAGCCAGGCTTAGGTTTCGAGGCTGAGGACAGATGTGGGAACAAAGGACAGTGTACAGAGCACACTGGTGCCAGCCCCAAGGGGCTATTTTACATGCACTGTCCCACTTCTCCTCACGGACCCCTGCTGCTCTGTCTGTTACAGGTGAGGAAACAGAGGCAGACAAGGTCAGGGGCTATCCACGGTCAGGACTGGTGAGGAGGGAGAGGGAGCCCCAGCTGTGGGCTCCACATGCCCAAAGGGAGGCCACTTTATGACAGTCATCATCAGGGGTCTCTTCTGCCTCCCAGGGTATCAGCAAGTGAAAATGGCCTGCTTCCTGTTGGGAGGCATGTAGCGTACATGGGGGCGGCTGTGCACCCCAGAGAGTTCCTTCCCCGAGCAGGCAAGGTGCACCTGGGGTAGGTGTCCCTGGAGAAGGCTGTTTTCCACCCAAGGCAGGAAGGCCCTCAGCACATGCTTGAGGATGCTCTACCGGCCTCGGGGAGGGCTCTGTCCTGCAGGCTATTTTCTACCGGCTCAAACCAGACACAGGATTGTGGGAAGTAGGGATGGGGGAGTCTGGAGTGGCCTGGGGTAGAGGATGGGACCAGCCAGCCCGGCATTCCAGGCCCCAGGTACCAAGTCAGACGTGGCGCATGAGCTGTTTGGCTTGGCACCTGGGCTGGCAGTGCCCAGCTCTCCTGCCCCCTCCCTGGATACACTTGCTGCCTGCCCAGCCGATGCAGGAGGGGGAGGGTGGCCACACCAGATGTGTCACGCCAGGCTTGAGCCTGGGCCAAGAGAAACCACGGAAAGCCAGCGGAGCCTGGGGGAAAATAGAAACTGGGTGGGGGCTAGGCAGACCCGGGGGCGAGTGCGTGGAAAAGCAAAACAACTCAGAAGGAGCTGGGCACTGGGCTGGCTTGTCCCCAGAGAAGCCGGAAAGGCACAGTGGCAGGAATAAAGGGGAGAAAACAGAAAAATAGCCCAATGCTGGACACCCTAGGGGGGAAATGCATGATTACAAAGGACAGCCACAAGAAGCTGGCCAACGTTGTGCGGAGCAGGAGAAATTAATCAAGAGTTGTGCCAGCCTCCCAACCGAAACCCCAGTTAGAACCACCACACCCCCTCGGCTCCAGCCGGCTGACCTAAACACGCTGGCTGCCTGCTGCAGGGAGGGAGGAGGTGGGAGGCCGGGGCGGGTGGATGTGTGCGTGCAGATGTGCTTGTGGGCACTGGAGGCTGCGCAGAGCTGGGTTGGGAGGGGTAGCGTGCGCTTGGCACACTTCAATATGTGAAGCATGCTCCGTAGCTCATTTAATCCTGAAAGCCCTCCCAGGTCACTTCTATTATGTCCATGTTACAGAGGAGGCAACTGAAGCCCAGAGCAGTCAACTTACTTGAAGTCATACAGGTGGGAAAGAGAAGACCTGGGATTTAACTTAGCTCTGATTCCAAAGTGCGAAGTCTTAACTTCAACCCTTTGGTTCCTCTCTGAAGGTGTAATGCTTCAGGTTACAGACACTTGAGTTTAAGCCCTGATCGTGTCTATAACCAGCTGCGAAGGAAGTCATCTCCTCTCTTTCACCTTATGACCTCGAGCTTGCCTGGCAGGCGCTTACACCACTGAGCTAAATCCTGCTGTGGTTTCCTATCTTTAAAATGTGA